TCGCCGGCTTGACAATCGCTGAAAAAGTCAATCGCTTAAATTGATAATCGCTGAAAAGGCTTCGCTCAAATGTCGTTCGTTGAAATGACGCTCGCTCAGGTGTCGCAGAACCAGGTGCCACGCCGGCTTCTGAAGGCTCCTTGTAGGCATCTAAGGGCCCTTTCCGGCCTCTAACGGCTCCACCCGCCTGTGATGGCTCCACACCAGTGTTTATGAGCGCCACACAGCGGCGCCTTCGAGGGTCATACTAGTGTCTCTTAGGGCCCTATATCGGTGGCTCTGGGGGCCCCACACCGGCGCCTCTGTGGGCCACCACACCTGTGCATCTCAAGGCTCTATAGGTACATCTGAAGGACCCACACCGATACCTCTGAGGGCCCCACAACTGTATCTCGGAGCTCTGAAGGCCCCACACCGGTGACTCTGAGGACTCACCGGCTCCTGAGAGCACCATGTCGATGTCTAACGGCTCCGCAAGGCCACTGAAGGCACCACACAAGCTCTCACTGAGCTCTAATGTCCATGTACATTGTACCGGCCTCTGAGGGATTTAAGCCAGCGCATTCATAGCTCCACACCAGCAATTGTAAGGACTTCACACTGAAGTATCTGAGGGTTCCACACCGGTGTCTCTAAGGGCCACATACCGGCATCTCTGAGGACCCCATACCGGCGTCTCCGAGGGTCCACATCTGGCGGGCACCCATCAGCGACTGAAGGTCCCACACTGTCGACTCCGAGAGCCCCATCTGCGTCTGGGAGCACCATGCCGTCTCTAAGAACCACAGCGGCTCCTCCGTACGAAAGATGGGCGTCTGCATGCCAAAGGGGAGCGGTTCTGGGACAGTAGGGCACCTACGTGCAATAGAGGGGCGCCTATGAAGCCCATAGGGGCGCCTCAATGAGAAAGAGGCCTCAATGCCTCTGAGGCCTACATATATGGGCATCCACATGCAATAGAGGTCTGCAAATGCAATTGATCAATGCCATAGGGGTGCATTCATAAGAAACAGGGGCGCCGGCATGGCAAAGAGAGGCGCCTTCAAGTGTCCATAGAAGAGAGACGCCTATGATAAGCGCACATTGTACGCGACAACGGGGCGACTGTGGGACATATAGAGATGTCTCTGATGACTATACATAGGGCGCTTATATGCCAAAGAGGGCGCCTATGAAGCTAATGGGGGCACCTGGGAAACGAGGAAGACATTTGTGTAAGGGTTTTCAGGGGTCATGCGCCGTTTGCGGCAAATAAATTAAAAAAAAATCGGAGGGGGAATAAGTTTTAAAAATGGTCCGGACTTTCCGCACTGTTCGCTTAAGCGGTTACGCCCCTGGGTACATCTGCCCGATCTCAGAAGCTAGATTTGGAGGTCATACTTGAAAGCAGCCAGCAGAACGAGGCAAAAGTTGGAGGCCCCTGAAAGTAGGAGGCCCCCTGGAAAAGGAGGCCCCTTTGCAGGGTGGCCCACCCACTTTTCATGACGTTCCTACGCCCGTGCATGTCTGTATGTCTATTATGTGATTTTATATGAATTTTTGAACATATGCCATTTTTGGTCGAAAACTCATAAATCATGACGTCACTAAAACCACGATATCTAAAAAAAAATTTCGACTGATTTTTTTTTTTTGAAACTTTGTCACAATAACCTTCAATCAATTCCGTACAATTACCCAAGTTTGCGGCGCGCCGTTTTTATGCTATGGCGCGGCAAAAAAGTGTGGGCGTTTAACGCACCCTCAGCAACTCGCGGGTTCACCCGCGCCCTGCGGGGGGGGGGGGTGTTTGAACACCCCCTGTCGTTTTTGGTACACCTTATCATACATCAATTCTACACATGTTGTGAAAATTTCAACCCAAGGTCATTCAAGGTCAGGTCACCAGGTAACTTGAAGTGACCTCACCTCATAAAAAGTTTCAATGTCTGTCATAGCTACACCGAGTGACCGATCGCTTTGAAACTTTCAGCGATTGCTAAGAGCAATAGCATGTACAAAATGTATATCTCAGAATTTTGATATCGATGACCTAAGGTCAGGTCAATTTTGCGACCTCCTCGTTATAAGTCAATGGGAGAAAATTTGAAATGCGCCTGTTTTGGACGAAAGACATTATAAACACTTCCAGACACTGAATTACAAGTGGTTTAGACACACTGAACATGAAAATAGTGTCCGTGACCCCTGTTTATGCCCTGAGATCATCTTAGGTCACGAATGGTATCTAACAGTTTTTCGCAAATAACTTTTGATAGAGGCATGCTAGAGCGATGAAAACGCCCGAGCTCAAATTTTCAAGTTGACCTTTCAATGTCAAGTTATAGTTCATTCGATGCGTCTTGACGAGAGGAACACGATGCCGGTAAAAGTAAGTTCGTACAAGGCTTGGGTCAAAAGTTATTGCAGAAAAACTGTTTCCGAAAAATCGGCTATTTTTGCAGTTTTTGCTCCCTGCAGGCAAAATCGTTAAGGTTAGGTCAAATCTGAGTGAATTACTCAGAAAGGGCGTTAACCCGCGAGTTGCTGGGGGGGGGGCGTTAAACGCCCCCACTTTTTTCGTCGGGCCAAACCATAAAAACGGCGCGCCGCAGGCGCGCCAAATTTTGGGTACCTGTAGGGAATTGATTGAAGTTTATTGTGACAAAGTTTAAAAAAATCGGTCGGAAAATTTTTAAGATATCGAGGTTTTAGTGACGTCATGATTTCTGAGTTTTCGACCAAAAACGGCATATGTTCAAAAAATCATATAAAATCACAGAATAGACATACAGATATGCCATAAACGCCATTAGACTGCCAATATCATGATCAATCAAATGGCTATCTTCGATTATTGATTATCGTTCCGCATTTTCCAAAATCTTGAACTGAATCTTGGCAATTTTTCGTGACTACTTCACAGTTCACGACCATGATACATGAATTTCTTAAATTGAACTTTTTGAGCCAAACACGTACACATATGATAAAATGAATGTCACCATCGTGTTCTACGCCCCAAATTACCTATAAAACATGTGTCACAGGCTGCGAATATCAGTTTTGATTTTCGGGGATATGTGCCTACCCGGTTGACCTGACCTTGACCCTGACCTATGCTTGACTGACCCCTATATGAAGCTGACACTCTTGTAGGCCTTATAAGATGGATTGTGCACCGTTTTGACAGAGTTTATGGCGAGAGGCGCCCATTGCGAAGTCCTGAAGTCCATGCTACTGAAAGCCCGATTTCAGGTGTTTGACCTGACCTTGACCCGACCTGTGACCTCAAAATTCAAGTACTCATCTGAAGCGTCTCGTCGCGCTCTTTCGTTTGCCGCCTTGTGCGTTTCGCTGCGCCTATTGGTTCTCGAGTTATCGGCTGGGGGCATTTAACGCCCCCCCCCCCCCCCCCCAGCAAACGGTGGGTGGCGAAATACCCCAGCAACTGCCGGGTTAATAGAGCTATCGAATACGCTTTTTCGCGGCGCTGTAGCTCTATTGGTTCCCGAGTTATGCGTTGGCTTCTTGAAAATTTTCGACATTCGACCTGGAAATCGGCGAAACTTTGCCTGCAATGACCTCTGGTGATCTGACCTTTGACCTGACCAAAAAATTGACCGAAGTGAATTCGTCATTATTTCTGACGCTCTTTCGAATGCCGCCTTCCGCGTATCGCTACGTGGCCCAGGAGCCGAGTTAGAAGGGAGGTGTTCAAACACCCTCCCCCCCCCCCCCCAGCAGGGCGTGGAAATCCAGGACCCCCAGTCGGGCGCGGGTTAACTAGGAGCGCGGTGGATCACTTGGACGTATTTGGGAGACGCTACGTTGTTTTGGAGCCAATACCTTGGAAACCCTTTCCGCCCAATGCGAGTTTTTAAGAGTCTACATGCCCAAATTAACGTTGAGCGCGGCCGTTTTCGGTCGGGTTTCCGCGACCTTTTGGCGAAATCGCCTTATTTATTCAACCAGGGTGGACTAATTCGCTTAACTAGGAATAAGGCGCTGGAAGAGAATTATTCAAGGAATAGAGCTGTGCAAAAAAATTGTATCGTTAAAACCGTATCCGCCCTCGAACGATAAATATTGTTGACGCATTAGAAACACATCCCGTGGAATGCATTTGGACTTGGCTGGATCTAATATTAGCGAGTATCTACTAATGCAGCTTCTTGGCTTGCACAGTATGCACACAAACATACATGCTTCCTGCCCTTGGATTATTCCTCACTTGAATGGAAATTTTGCTATAATAACTATTCCAAGCAGTTGACAGGTTTTAGTGTAATGCAAAGTCGGAACCGTTCCGCACCGGCAGTCTCCCAGGCGGCGCGTAACGGCCGCCGCCGGCCGGCGCGCCGCCGCTCTGGCAGGGTGTTTGACTTTATACCGCTGTTGTTAGAAAAGTTGTGGACCAATTTACTTCATTCTTGCATGACAAGATTTGTCATTCAATTCTTAGCAGGTACCGAAAATTTGACGTCAATTGCACGATCCACCGCCCATATTGCGGTACTGCCATCTGTTGACAAGGCTGGAGAACTAAAGCCGTGTGGCTATTTCCACATAAAGCTATTTCCACTTCTGACACACCATGGCCTCTTTAAATTAACCCTTCAGCCAGTTGGCCACATTTGGACCACGTAATCCCTGGAAAATATGAGCACTGGCCGTTTCAAACAGTGGTTCGTACTATATTAAAAAAAAAAAAAACACTGGACGCATCGTGCCCTGGACATTATGAACCCTGGCCTAAATAATACGCACCCCTTACCAATGCCATAAATAGGATTTGGCTGCACTGGCCGGATTTTACGGCACTGATATCAAATATATTATTTTTATTTACATCCAGCTTAACTTGTCCAATGATTTTAATAGCGTGAATGATTATGAAATGAATGTTGCCTAAACGAATGAATAAGTGAATGTGGAATAGTTCTAAATGTTACCAAATGCCGTGAATGCGCATTCACCGCATTTGGTAAGATTGGGCGCAGGTGCCGATCTGGACTCACCAGCTGCTGTTGCGGACGGTCTCGGTTCGTATTGACTGGATTCCACGCGTGTGGTGGTACATGGTCACCTTAGCGTACGTGGACGGGTGCTCAGCCCCGCCGCCGCTGCCGCTGACACTCTGTGGGACACAGTCAGCTGTCAGCTGGCACGGCCGTCAGCTGTCAGCTGGCACGGCCGTCAGCTGTCAGCTGGCACGGCCGTCAGCTGTCAGCTGGCACGGCCGTCAGCTGTCAGCCGACACGGCCGCACACATCGCGCCGACACGGCAGCGAGCCCAGTCGCGCTTGGTTAACCGCGCCCTGCTGGGTGTGAACTCACTGAACATCCCCCTGCGCTTTTAACACCTTGTTAAACACTTTTCTACAAATGCGGTGAAAATTGCATACCAAGGTCACTCAAGGTCAGGTCACCAGGCCACGTCACTTGACCTCACCTCATAAAAAGAGTAAACCCCTACCATGCGTGCGTGCGTGTATGTCACCGCTACCCACCTCCAGCTGCACGGCCTCCAGGAGGGCCACGGTGAGCCGCCGCAGGCCGGCGTTGTAGGTGAGGCCCACCAGCAAGCCGCCTGCCGTGCCGGCCGCCGGCGCCGCGGCCGCAGCCGCGCGCACGCAGCTGGTGCTCGCGCTGCCGGCGCTGCAGCCGCTGTCCAGCTCATCGTCGACCCGGCTGGCCGAGAGAAGACTGTCCCGGTCACCACCAGTACACTCCCCGCCCACCACAGACACCACCAGTACACTACACTCCCACCACAGACACCACCAGCACACTACACTCCCACCACAGACACCACCAGCACACTACACTCCCACCACAGTCACCACCAGTACACTACACTCCCACCACAGACACCACCAGTACACTACACTCCCACCACAGACACCACCAGTACACTACACTCCCACCACAGACACCACCAGTACACTACACTCCCACCACAGACACCACCAGTACACTACACCCCCACCACAGACACCACCGGTACACTACACCCCCACCACAGACACCACCAGTACATACACTCCCACCACAGACACCACCAGTACACTACACCCCCACCACAGACACCACCAGTACACTACACTCCCACCACAGACACCACCAGTACATACACTCCCACCACAGACACCACCAGTACACTACACTCCCACCACAGACACCACCAGTACACTACACTCCCACCACAGACACCACCAGTACATACACTCCCACCACAGACACCACCAGTACACTACACTCCCACCACAGACACCACCAGTACACTACACTCCCACCACAGACACCACCAGTGCACTACACTCCCACCACAGACACCACCAGTGCACTACACTCCCACCACAGACACCACCAGTACATACACTCCCCGCCCACCACAGACACCACCAGTACACTACACTCCCACCACAGACACCACCAGTACACTACACTCCCACCACAGTCACCACCAGTACACTACACTCCCACCACAGACACCACCAGTACAATACACTCCCACCACAGACACCACCAGTACACTACACTCCCACCACAGACACCACCAGCACACTACACTCCCACCACAGTCACCACCAGTACACTACACTCCCACCACAGACACCACCAGTACATACACTCCCACCACAGACACCACGAGTACACTACACTCCCACCACAGTCACCACCAGTACACTACACTCCCACCACAGACACCACCAGCACACTACACTCCCACCACAGACACCACCAGTACACTACACTCCCACCACAGACACCACCAGTACACTACACTCCCACCGCAGACACCACCAGTACACTACACCCCCACCACAGACACCACCAGTACACTACACTCCCACCACAGACACCACCAGTACACTGCACTCCCACCACAGACACCACCAGCACACTACACTCCCACCACAGACACCACCAGTACACTACACTCCCACCACAGACACCACCAGTACACTACACTCCCACCACAGACACCACCAGTACACTGCACTCCCACCACAGACACCACCGGTACACTACACCCCCACCACAGACACCACCAGTACATACACTCCCACCACAGACACCACCAGTACACTACACCCCCACCACAGACACCACCAGTACACTACACTCCCACCACAGACACCACCAGTACATACACTCCCACCACAGACACCACCAGTACACTACACTCCCACCACAGACACCACCAGTACACTACACTCCCACCACAGACACCACCAGTACATACACTCCCACCACAGACACCACCAGTACACTACACTCCCACCACAGACACCACCAGTACACTACACTCCCACCACAGACACCACCAGTGCACTACACTCCCACCACAGACACCACCAGTGCACTACACTCCCACCACAGACACCACCAGTACATACACTCCCCGCCCACCACAGACACCACCAGTACACTACACTCCCACCACAGACACCACCAGTACACTACACTCCCACCACAGTCACCACCAGTACACTACACTCCCACCACAGACACCACCAGTACAATACACTCCCACCACAGACACCACCAGTACACTACACTCCCACCACAGACACCACCAGCACACTACACTCCCACCACAGTCACCACCAGTACACTACACTCCCACCACAGACACCACCAGTACATACACTCCCACCACAGACACCACGAGTACACTACACTCCCACCACAGTCACCACCAGTACACTACACTCCCACCACAGACACCACCAGCACACTACACTCCCACCACAGACACCACCAGTACACTACACTCCCACCACAGACACCACCAGTACACTACACTCCCACCGCAGACACCACCAGTACACTACACCCCCACCACAGACACCACCAGTACACTACACTCCCACCACAGACAACACCAGTACACTACACTCCCACCACAGACACCACCAGTACACTACACTCCCACCACAGACACCACCAGTACACTACACTCCCACCACAGACACCACCAGTGCACTACACTCCCACCACAGACACCACCAGTACACTGCACTCCCACCACAGACAACACCAGTACACTACACTCCCACCACAGACACCACCAGTACACTACACTCCCACCACAGACACCACCAGTACACTACACTCCCACCACAGTCACCACCAGTACACTACACTCCCACCACAGACACCACCAGTACACTACACTCCCACCACAGACAACACCAGTACACTGCACTCCCACCACAGACACCACCAGCACACTACACTCCCACCACAGACACCACCAGTACACTACACTCCCACCACAGACACCACCAGTACACTACACTCCCACCACAGACACCACCAGTACACTACACTCCCACCACAGACACCACCAGTGCACTACACTCCCACCACAGACACCACCAGTACACTACACTCCCACCACAGACAACACCAGTACACTACACTCCCACCACAGACACCACCAGTACACTACACTCCCACCACAGACACCACCAGTACATACACTCCCACCACAGACACCACCAGTACACTACACTCCCACCACAGACACCACCAGTACACTACACTCCCACCACAGACACCACCAGTGCACTACACTCCCACCACAGACACCACCAGTACACTACACTCCCACCACAGACACCACCAGTGCACTACACTCCCACCACAGACACCACCAGTACACTACACTCCCACCACAGACACCACCAGTACACTACACTCCCACCACAGACACCACCAGTGCACTACACTCCCACCACAGACACCACCAGTACACTACACTCCCACCACAGACACCACCAGTACATACACTCCCACCACAGACACCACCAGTACACTACACTCCCACCACAGACACCACCAGTACACTACACTCCCACCACAGACACCACCAGTGCACTACACTCCCACCACAGACACCACCAGTACACTACACTCCCACCACAGACACCACCAGTACATACACTCCCCGCCCACCACAGACACCACCAGTACACTACACTCCCACCACAGACACCACCAGTACACTACACTCCCACCACAGTGACCACCAGTACACTACACTCCCACCACAGACACCACCAGTACAATACACTCCCACCACAGACACCACCAGTACACTACACTCCCACCACAGACACCACCAGCACACTACACTCCCACCACAGTCACCACCAGTACACTACACTCCCACCACAGACACCACCAGTACATATACTCCCACCACAGACACCACGAGTACACTACACTCCCACCACAGTCACCACCAGTACACTACACTCCCACCACAGACACCACCAGCACACTACACTCCCACCACAGACACCACCAGTACACTACACTCCCACCACAGACAACACCAGTACACTACACTCCCACCACAGACACCACCAGTACACTACACTCCCACCACAGACACCACCAGTACACTACACTCCCACCACAGACACCACCAGTACACTACACTCCCACCACAGACACCACCAGTACACTACACTCCCACCACAGACACCACCAGTGCACTACACTCCCACCACAGACACCACCAGTACACTGCACTCCCACCACAGACAACACCAGTACACTACACTCCCACCACAGACACCACCAGTACAAGCTACACTCCCACCACAGACACCACCAGTACACTACACTCCCACCACAGTCACCACCAGTACACTACACTCCCACCACAGACACCACCAGTACACTACACTCCCACCACAGACAACACCAGTACACTGCACTCCCACCACAGACACCACCAGCACACTACACTCCCACCACAGACACCACCAGTACACTACACTCCCACCACAGACACCACCAGTACACTACACTCCCACCACAGACACCACCAGTACACTACACTCCCACCACAGACACCACCAGTGCACTACACTCCCACCACAGACACCACCAGTACACTACACTCCCACCACAGACAACACCAGTACACTACACTCCCACCACAGACACCACCAGTACACTACACTCCCACCACAGACACCACCAGTACATACACTCCCACCACAGACACCACCAGTACACTACACTCCCACCACAGACACCACCAGTACACTACACTCCCACCACAGACACCACCAGTACACTACACTCCCACCACAGTCACCACCAGTACACTACACTCCCACCACAGACACCACCAGTACACTACACTCCCACCACAGACAACACCAGTACACTGCACTCCCACCACAGACACCACCAGCACACTACACTCCCACCACAGACACCACCAGTACACTACACTCCCACCACAGACACCACCAGTACACTACACTCCCACCACAGACACCACCAGTACACTACACTCCCACCACAGACACCACCAGTGCACTACACTCCCACCACAGACACCACCAGTACACTACACTCCCACCACAGACACCACCAGTACACTACACTCCCACCACAGACACCACCAGTACACTACACTCCCACCACAGACACCACCAGTACACTGCACTCCCACCACAGACACCACCAGCACACTACACTCCCACCACAGACACCACCAGTACACTACACTCCCACCACAGACACCACCAGTACACTACACTCCCACCACAGACACCACCAGTACACTGCACTCCCACCACAGACACCACCAGCACACTACACTCCCACCACAGACACCACCAGTACACTACACTCCCACCACAGACACCACCAGTACA